AAGAGCTAGGAATTATGTCCTCTAGGGGACGTGGACATAAAGGAACATAAATTTTATATGCTAAATACTTTAGGGACCCATCTTTAGTTGGGATAGGTATCACTAACTACTTTTATAAGCTATTTATTATGTATCACCTTTTCGCTCACAATGTCATGCCATAGAGGATGCCTTTGATGCAAGCATATACTCCCTAGTAAATGCTTCGGTTTTGACCGCTGGTTGGACACTATCAAAACTAGGGGCCTTATGGCCAATTGGGATGTGACTCCTTAAGGATCTAGTCTATCAATGACAAACCGATGCTTCTTAATCTCCTAGTAGACAATCTAGATTCAGACCGGTTGGCATATGCTATCAAATTTAAGGATATAAATACCAAGCAGGACGCAACTCCTACATGCTTTGTCTTACTACATGGCTGCCATATCTGTACATGGGCATGTGTTGGTTCAGTGGTCTTCTTCAAGATATCCTTACTTGGTAATTAATAAGGGAACTTGGCAGCTTGGGATTGGTTAAGATGAAATACAGCCCAGTCTATACATATGGTGTAAATTATTTTGCTGTTGACTCAATTGCCAAAATCCTTAAAAATAATTGCGTCAGACTCAATTATTTTATATGTTTTAATAGTGACTCAATTAATTGCGTTAAATAATTGCGTCAATTGCGTCAAGGATCTACCTATTTCTACCACATGTATAGATTGGGCTGTACTTCATTTTATCTAATTCCGCATGATATATTTCTTTCCTGTTAACTACTGAATAAGGAAGCTTAAAAGAAGAGCACTATACCACTGCCACTCTTGTATGACATGGTTTCTTCTCTCGATCGATGTAAGGAGTTGTGCCCTGCTTGGTATTTATGCTTCTAAATTTGACAGCTTAAACCAACCAGTTCGAAACTGGAGTGTTTACTAGAAGATTAAGGAATTCCTTAAGGAGTCGTACCTTACTTGGCCATATGGCCCCTAGATTTGATAGCTTAAAGTCAACCAGCAGTCAAAACCAGAGCATTCATTAGGAAACTGTCAAGATATCGAGACCTCTCTGCTATATCAGCTGCGTGGGTGGGAAGGTGTAATGTGATAAGTAACTTAGGAAATAGTTAACAGTACCCTCTGTCCTTATACAAAAATTGGACCAGTAGGTTGGATGGTTTAAAACTAGTGATAGGATTTCCATCCTCTAGATAGGTCCCCCCAAAAAATATGAACCTACTTGATGAATGTTATTAGTATTACTGGGGTAATAAGTAGATAGGCTAGCATTTAGCTGTTGTAATATAATAGAGGATGTTTGATGTATATGTATATAAATTGATAATCATTCAATAAAAACCAGTGCATCTAATGTCATTCTATAAAAAAAAAACAAAAGTCATTCTTTGATAATTATATTTTATTAAAATCATTTAAAAACTATCAGTATAGCTTAGGCATACTGGCTTGAATCTCTGTGACTAATCTTTCAAGGAAATTAGAGACAAGTTTCAATAGCAAGTCACTATTAATTAGATAATTTTCACTATATATATAATAGTTTATTTAAATTATAGTAATATAAATAAATAATAAATAAATAAAGTAAAGTGTTGTTGATCTTATTAGAAAAAAAAAAAACTAAAAATCCAAGCTTCTTATAATTGCTAATATATTTACTTTTTATTATCTATATTAGTTAAACTATTTATTTTTATTAAAATAATAATATTTAAAAATATTTAAAGACACTTTCAAAAAAGTATTTTTTGAAACTTTATACTTAAATATTTTTAACTAAAAAAGATATTGATTTTTTATTGTTGATTTTTCTTTTAAGTTATATCTTTTGAAATTATTGTTTTATTTAATTATAGTTTAAAAATTTCTTTTTTTAATTATTTTTAAAATAAATATTATTACTTTAATTTTTTATTAAGACTTAAATCTTGTAGTTACTTATTGTTCTCTAAAAAGAATATAAAAAAAATAAAAAATAAAACAAAAAAGAATTGTTTTTTCTTACTACTATACATCAATTTAAAATTATTTAACTTTTTCAAAAATTTATTATATTATTAATTTGATATTGTATAATTAAAATATATAAAAGAATATATCTTATTTATTTTTTCTATGACTGATATAATTAATTAATTTATGATTTTAACCAATTATTTTTTAGAAAATCTGATATAATAAAAAATTCATAATTAAACTAAGGTAAACAAAATTTTTTAAAAAAATAAAAAAAAAACATATTTGAAAAAAAAAGTATTAAAAAATCAAATTTTTTTTTTGAATTTTTAAATGTTTTGAGAGTCTTTAAATAATATTTTTTTTTGTTAGTTTTTTTTATAAAAAGATATTTTTGCCATAGACCTCTTAAATAGCTTTCTTATATTTAATTACAAAATAAATAAAAAAAATATTTTGAAAAAAAAAGATAAACTAATAGTAGTTACTGCATACTTTGTTGGTTGAGAAATCAATATTGTTAAAGAAATATATAAACTTAATTAATTATAAATATATAAAATCTTTTGAGAATATCTATTTTTTGAATTGATAAAAAAATTGGTAAAAAGAGTTTAGTTTATAATTATATATATATTTTTATTTCAATAAGTTTAAATATTATTAATATTGATTAGTAGATCAATAGCACAGAGAATAATATTTTTTAATTTTCAAATACATGTTTCTAATTCAATATTTATAGGAGAAAAAATGTATAAAAAATTATTTATTATTTATAAATTTACTGATTTTTCTACAAATGTCATATTCAAATATTCAGATCCTAATCAAATTTAGTTAGCTATATAAAAATGGGACTTTTGATCTTTTTGATAATTGTAGGTTGAAAACAGATTAAAATAGAAAAGGTTATACAAGAAAAGACTTTTGGTTTAATTCTGATAAAAGCTTATAATCCCTTTTGGCATAGCAAATTTTATAGCATAAAGAATACTTTAGCTTGAGATTATTCCAATCTAATACTTGTTTAAAAGAAGAAGGTTTGATAAAAAAGGAAATTTGAAGTTGTAGATGATGAAAAAGAGTATAATATCTTTTTTAAGGTTTTAGATAAAAAGTATTAAATAGGTTATTCAGGTGTTTTAATCAATCTTGAAAGGTATATGCTCCAAATAATAATTGTCAAAATCTAGATTAGGTTAAATAGTTTAAAACTAGTAATAGGATTTTTATTTCTAAAGATTTCATCCAGTATATTAATCTATCTCAGTAGTAGTAAATTGATATAACTAGATAAGACTATAGATAGAAAAGCAGATTAACTTAAATAAACCTTATAGTTATATTATTGGATATAAATAATTCAATAAAAATATATGTTTACTAGTACTCTTTACCTTTCAAAAAAAATATTATTAATACTATAAAAAATAATATAAAAAAATAATACTATTTTAATCTTATATAATTATTAAAAATAAATAATTAATAAATTAAAATATAAAATTATTTAATATAATTTTTTATAATTAATTATTTTTTATTTTGCTATTTAATTTAAAATAATTTTTCAATAATAAAACATTTAAATAGTGTTTTTAATTTTGTATTTAAAATTTTACAAAATATTAAAAAACCTAATCAATTATAACAAAGTATATTTTTTAATTTCTTTTTTGATATACCGTAGTTTAGATAGTTATTTCGGTAAACTAAGTTAAGGAATGTCTGTTTTTTTTTTTTAAATATATATTTTTATATACTGTAATAAGAATTAAAGTTTGCCAATATATATACAGTATATATTATTTTTATTTGTTTTTTTAAAGTAAAATTTATATTAATTTAATATAAATTAATGATAATTATGTTTTAGTAATATTTAAAAAAAAATCGATATTTTGAAATTTTTTATTTTAGAATATTTTTAATCAAAAATCAAATGTATACATAGTGATTTTCAATTTTAGGTGAGCCTTATTAAGAAGAATTATTTTTCGCTTTTTTATATTATTGATAAATGCTTGTTTACAGTTAACTAAATAAATGTTTTAATATTTATATGATTTTGACAGGGAAGTACACCCTCGTCTCGGCAATATTCTAATAAGAAAATACTGATTTATAGAAAAAAGAATAAATATAATTTATGTAAAATATAATATATATATAGATTTTTTTTTTAAAAGATACGTTGATGTGTGTATTTGATATATTCGTCTTATATTCATGTCTTTTCTTTTCATGTATTCACGGGAAATAAGTAGTTAATTTTGCAGGAAGATCTACTGTAAACATTCTATTATCATTCGAAACCAAGTTTCTAATTTTGTTTCTTTTTTTTTTTTCCAATATGACTACGGTATTTGTATAATTACTTTTTTTGTATGCTACACAACATTACCGATTAAATTTTTTAACACAAAATTGAACTAAAACTCTGTCGAATGTAAATAATTAGGATTGGAGACAATAAGCACAAATGGAACAATCTTTAAGAACAGAAAAATCAATGAATGTTTAAAAAAGAAGATATGGCAAATAGAGGAGCCCTACATAATTCTATTTTTACAAAATATAAATCTAGTATTTTATTTTAAATTGCTGGTTTATATAGTAGGTTCCAATTAAATCACCCGAATGTTATATATTCTACCGGTATTCACGTGGTCACGTAAAGTTCGAATTTTTGGTTTTTCCTCGATATACAATTTCTGTCAATTTCGATAAATAATATTGACCTTTCCAACAGCGAAAACAAGCAGTTAAACTGCACGGAGAAAGTAACAAATTTTTTATTTATTATTTGAACAAAAAAATTATAGTATAAGGAGGAAATAAAAAATGGTTGGCCATTTTAAGTGGAACGAAAAAGTGATGAGTTTTCGTTTGGGTTAACATATTCATACATCTTTTTTTTTGTCGTTTATTTACATCTTATATAAAGATGTTTCGCAGTCTTTCGATCAAATTTTCATTAAACTTTTAAGAAGAGAGGAAAATCATAGACTCATATTTTCGTTTGGGACAATGCATCCATTTTTCGTGACGTCGTCTATTATGTTCAAACGTAAAGGATGTTTTGCAGTCTTTATATCGGCAGTACACTAGAGAAGAAACCAAATTTTCGTTAAACTTTTAAGATGGCTCTTAATCAATGAGAAACTAATCATAGACTCACGTTTTTCACCAGAATGAGACTTTATGTGAATTTTTAACTGGCTCGGATAATTGAACAATTTTCTGCATTTAAGACATATGCGTTTCTGAACGAGTTTATGGATATTTGGCATATTTAAGACTTCTTTGTCAATAAAACGGACAGAAGTAAGTTTGTTACTTTCTTCAATACGATAAACCACATAATATTGATTTAACAAGTTTAAGCTGATGTGGCCCGTATATTTTGCTGCGCCCAACGAGCTCAAGCTTTCTCCAATGATGTGACTCGTGTTTTCGGCTATGCCCAGCAAGCTCAAGCTTTCTTCTTCGATGTAACTCGTTTCTTTCGCTACATCCGTGTTTTCGGCTACATCCAACGAGCCAAAGCTTTCCCCAATGATGTGGCCCACGTTTTCATCGATAAAATCTAATAAATGCAAGCCTTGTTCGACAACATAACCCATCTCGTCAACGAAGTTTGAATAGTCAAGACCTCCTACATTAATATTGTAATGATGTATCGGCGAGTCTGTCGCTCACTCTAGCGGAGATTCGCGTAACCGTTACAAGGGTAAAATAAATGAAAGGTGATTTTGAGGCGTATTATTTGACCAAGTCTTTATTAATTTCCTTTTACTCGTTATCACTACCTGTAGTATCACTCCCCATATCTCTTACATTTTCTATGTTATTTATACTTCTCTTTTGTTACATCTAGCTATGACGTCTTGGCTATGGAATAATAAGCGCTAATAATAAGAATGTCATGACTAAGCTGGATGACATAATTCTTTCTACAATCCTCCCCGACTCTCTCTTTATTACCTAATATTTCATAGTCGTCGGGGTACTAACGCGACGATTGATCACGTGATAGACGTCGCGTCCTAATTTTACCTGTTACAATATAATTCGAGTTTTCGGGGAAGTTTGGCGAGCTTAAGCTTCCTTCATTAAATTGACTCGCATTTTCGACGAGGCTTGACAACCTAATGCCTCCTCCAGCAATATACATCATATTTTCGATGTCTATTAAGTTCAAACTTGTTCCAGTGATATATCCCTTAATAATACCCGAAACCAGTGCGTTGCTGTTGAAACATACAATCATATATAGGCTGGTTTCTGAACATGGTGTGGAAATATCGATGGTGTTATTAAGGGTATATACACCAGAACCGTCTCCACTTGCGGAATGGAGAGTTATATCGATAGTAAGGTTTTTTGGGTATACTTCAGAGCGTGCCATTTTTACCTACAACAGCAATGCGAGAAGGTTGCGATCTTTATTGACCTTATTCTGAATATATATCTGTGATTGGGCCGGTAAATTGTATCGTCACATGATTATATATTTTTTTTTTCTTTCGTGATTTTAGACGTTCTTGTGTGTTTACTTATCCTTGCATCTTTCGCTTAAAACACGATATTGGTTACACGTGTGTTTTCAAATCGCGATTTTATGTTTTCCAAAATTAGTAATTATTTGCGTCATACCCGCAAAATTATCCACTTGTAGACCCGTAAAAACATGCACAGCATTGAGATTATCATTCACTTTTGATTTGATATTACTTTATTCCACTCGATACACTAAGACCATAATCAGAACAATGGGACGGATTGAAGGATGAAAGTATGCAACTAAAATCTGGTGTTATTGTACCACAGTAAATCCAAAAACCTGTATCCTATTCATAATATATTTGGAAATTATTCCGGAAAAATTTATTGGCGGTTGGAAGATATTTACTGAGCCAACAAATTTATATTCGATGTTGGGTTCTTCCAATATAACCAAAGAAAGACATCTTTATCCGTATCGGTGACTGATTAGAGTGAAAAAAAAAATCTTTAGAATCATGTTAAACTCATATGACATCTTAGAGCTATGCCTTTTCTGTAAATAATGGTATCAAGTGATGAGATCGCCCACCAAAGAAACATACTAATGAAAGGAAAGTTCATATTTTATTAGTAAAATCGCATATACAGTAGATACAGTATATATTATATGTAATATCAATGAGAAATTAAAATTATTGCAACGGAAAAAAACAATCCTTCTCTATAAAATATTTATTACTAAATTTGTTAGAGTACATAATCGCAATAATGGAAAGTGATTTATTAATTACTGTTTTGTTAAAGTGAAGAAATGTCGAAACAAGTTCGATAAACCATAACTGAAATCAGCACCGAAATTTATTTAGAATTTTTAAAGCGATTTGCAAAGTCCAGTCGCCAGGTGACATACAAGTGGAAACAAGGATAAATCTAGGAAATCAAAAGAATGCCACCGAGATTCTTGAGTGGATTTCGTGGGATTAACTTATTCTTACCGAGTATTAGGAAAGCGATCATTTAGTACTTTTTATTCCTCGTATTAAATTTGAGGATCTAGCCGAATTTGGATGAAGAAAGCGAAGACCGGACAAGAAATGGTTGCTATAAAAAGAATTGATAATTTCCATAATATAACTAAAGAATATTAAACAAGGAAAAAAATAGTAGCCTGATACTATAATTTAAACAACATTGGATTGCACGATCTCTCAAAATAACAAGATTCTAACAGATGCATTCAAAGCGGTTCGGTCGCAGATTTCTTTGGAATGGCACGAGATACGAGGAAGTGTTACGGGTTTGTAATGAGGTTCTACTCAAATAGAAATTTCTACTAATATCTCGATCATGTTATGGCGTTATAGGAATCCTTGTGGGGAGAGACATTGTTGATAAGCGTTGGGAAATTTCTGGTGGTTTAGATCAAATTAATCTTTGTCACGTAATCTTTATGGTCGGAATCTATTGACACAGACGTAGTCCAACTGACAAATCAATAACATAATTTGAGATATAATGCGGTCATTATCTTTCCGGTGTGCAACCATTTTGTAATAGATCTCACGACAAGTATTTCGCATGTGACATTTGTAACAACGTTCGTCCAAATCCGAAAAATATTCGTTCCATCGCCTATTCATTCTCAGGTTAATACGCCAGTCAACCAACCAATACATTTTCCTAATTACGAGTATAAATTAAATATGGAAAATTCGACAGAATTATGATTTATGCAACAAGTTGTATTCTAAAAAAAAAAAAAAAAATTCACCTTTTTTTTCAGAAATATTAAACTTTTTTATTTCTTCAAAGTTAGGTACGGGAATAATTTCTTTATATCAGCATCTTTGTTCGATCGATGAAAAATTCGTATTATCTAACAAAAGGAAATATTTATAGTGTAAAGCACGAGAAATCACATGGATTTTTATTCCGGAATTTTCTAATGTCTCAATTATAAATGCATACCCTTTTTCGATTTCAAAAAAATTAACTCACAACAATGACTGGTACATTTATCGAAAAATAAAGAATCTGCCAACTGTTGCCTATATTTCGAGAAATTTCCTTAAGAATTTGACGTAAGATAACCACTCGTCTTCAAAAAAGTACCAATTTCGCAACGCAACCGGATTATGTCATTTCTTTCCAAATCGGGCAAGATTGTGATAGTTGGATTGGTCAATAAGACGCTAATATACAATGCTGTATATAGGCAGGTAGCAACAATAATTGGAAAAATTAGCCGGAAAGTCATTGGATATCATACCGCATTTACCACAAGATCCGAGACCCCGCGTGCTATTTATCATAGAAAACGTCTTTTCTTAATAATAGGAGGATATTGTAGGTGAAATTTGATTTTCGATTTTAATTTTAAATACAATATATAGAGAATGTCTTTTTTTTTTTTTTTTCCAGAAAATGGTTTAATCGACCAAGAAAAACAATGTCGATTTAGGTAACCTTGCATAACTACCAACGAGGTACAGTTTTTTTATTGACGAATTAAAATTTTTGTTGAGCAAACTTCTGATTCACGAGATCAGGGTACCTTTCTTAACACAATTTTAATTCGCTCATCTTTCATTATTAGGAGAAATTTCACTTGACATTTCTTGGATTAAAATTTCCATTCAGAATCGCTGTATAAAAAATAATATGGAAGGTATCATAACAGCTTATGGTGAGGCACTCGAATAGCTTGTCTTTATCCGAGCTAGATGCTTTTGAATAATCAAGATGCTAAACCTAATAAGCGCGTAAATTTTGACAAATTTTATACGAGCTTTAAATAATAGTATCAGAACGAAAGTACGACAATTTACCGATTTTCGTGAGGAAATCACCTTATATAGAATTTATATAAAACTACAAATACAGTATTAATTTTTTTGATTTTTTCAAAATTTCCTATCAAAAACAACGAATACAATATTTATTATCACAAGAGCAAAATACATAGTGAAAAATAATATGATAATGTGTTCGCATCATTCCATCTTTTCATTTTTGATTAGCATACAGTTTTCATGTTTGAGTCACAACCTCATAATAAATACTTTTTAATACGTGGTAACAAATAAATACATCTAGCAGATACAGCAGATATAAATTATCAAGTAGGAAATCCCTTTTTAAACATTGACTTCTTCAACCTCAAATCCTGGAACAATACTCTGACCTCCATAAGCTACGGGCAAATTTCCTTCATCGATAGCAGCGGTCATACACTCCTTGACGTTACTATGCGAAGCAACAATAAATTTACTTTTGGTTTCTTCCGACAAAAACATGGAGATAAACTTAAAGATGAAGTCGCCCCACCAAGGGACATTAATAAAGAATTTCACAGCCTGCATTTTTTCGAGATAATAGATAAGTGACGCCATACGTTTAAACTTTGAATACCAAATGGAAAACAAAGGTTTACCAAAAATTCCGGATAATTGTCTTGTATGATCTGAACAACGCTCTTACTTGCGGTTTTGGCCGTTTTATCATAACTCATCATCGAAACCATATTATAATCATGCACCTGATCTGATCAACCTTCACAAAATCTAGATGCTGAATTCCTTTTTCCATCAATTGAACTCTCCATCTTAAAAATCGATCCAAATCTCCAAAAACCTCATTATTATCAAGCCCACCGTATAAATTATAAGTGACTGGACGGTTGTATTTATCATGTTTGTGAATGAATCCGACCTTCGCAAATATGGATTCGGGAAATGTTTCGGAGAGTATTGAGTCGGTCTTAAATTCGATCCTCCATTTGAGTGAGTTGGTTAACATTTCCTTGGCAAGGTTCACATCAAGATTTCTGTAACAGCAATGTTAGATTGCGTTGAGACAGTTTATAAAAAATAGGTTTTTAATTAACAGAACTGATGTTGAATAATACCTGGCTTTCAAGAATTTCCGGAGAATAACATCAGGTCTATCATCGCTCGAATCTTTATCCAAAGAAATACCCCAAAGCGTATAATTCTCCGGAACTCTTGAATCTTTTATAATTTCTGGAAGTAACGCTTTGAGTTCCTTAATTGCCTTCTTTTCTTCTTCGGTAAATGCGTTTACTAGCAAATTGCTCTCAGTGTTTTCCGTATTCATTTTTTTTTTTTTTTTTTTTTGACTTAAACCTCAACTGATTTTGCGGTCCATTTTAAACATTCATTCCGGTAATACAAAAACTCTATTTAGTTATGAATCCGTATACTGTACATCACAACCTCGTGTGTTAAGCAAACATACGTAAAACAATTTCTAATTTTAAACGTTCATTACTATATATCCGTACATATCGTAATTTTTCGTAATACAATCTATTAAAAAAAATTCTACTGTACATTAATCAAATACAATTATTTAGAATGTGCATTTTTTGAAAAAGAAACTTATAAAATATGTATATTTTAAATATATATATATTATTGTCAAGATTTGTTTGTGAATATGGGTAATTATTTTCGAAGGCGGACCGGAAATTTTCTGGTAGTACAATTGTAATCCTAAAATTTACATTATGTGTGTATTGTTTAAAAGTAGGGTCCGAAAAAATCATATCTAGCATTTTTGTCATCTTCAAAAAGAATTACCCATATACTGTACATATATACAATATCTGCTAAAAAAAATTTGAATATATAGATTTGTTCAAATGTATTTTTTTGTATGTTTGAAGCCACGCATCATTTGTTTTATTTCAAAAGAAATTGTGTAGGTACAGTATGTTGTATATAATAATAAAATAAATTTTCAAAAGTTTATTATTTTCAATAGATGTACTATTAAGGCAAGCATATACTGTATGTATTATTATAATTTTTACAATTTATCTATTTCAACTTTTATTTGTTATTAATTAACCAATCTAAACAAATAATCGATTTTCATGATGCATTTATATCATTTTAATGTATATATATGAAAGAAGTTTTTTTCATAATATATATACGAGTTAAATAAAAAACAATTTTTACTAATAAAAAAACAAATTAAATAATAATAAAGTTTAAAAAAATTATATATTCATGCTTTTTCAAAAAAATTTTTTAATATTTTAATATAATTTTAACAAGTAAATAATTGTATTGTTATTATATATAATTTAATTTATTAATTTAATTATATTGTAAAAAAAAATTATAATATAACATTTGTTACTGTATATAATCAATTGTTAAAAATAAAAATTATCATTAATAATAATATAAAATTTAAGTAATTAAAAAACATTAAAAAAAATTATATAAAAAATTATATAAAAAATTGTATAATTTGATATCTGTTTTATTAGTTTTTGAAAATATATGTTTTAATTTTGCAAACAAAAAGATCTATAAAATTTGATTAAATTTATATGTTTTATATTTATTTACTAAACAACTTTAAAAATTATTCTTAATAATTTTTTTTTTTTATCTAATTAAGTTATATATTCAAGTTTATTTAATTTTCAAATTTTAGAATTGAATGGACCTTAGTATAGATATTACAAGATACATATAGTATTATTTATATATATACTAATGGTTAAACTTTTTAACTTTATACAATATATCTATTAATAGTCACTGGCCTCTAGATGTGATTAAGGAAATAAAAAAATTGCTCAATTAAAAAAAAACATTTCTTGTTATTCTAAAATCTCAAAGCCAACCCTTCATTAAAACTGTCACTTCAACTTAATCTTTATAGTCTTAAGGTATAAAAATTTTTATTTTTTTGAAAAGGTAAAGAGAAAAAATAAAAGAGAAAAATTTGTATGATAAAATAAAAATTCATCAAAACCAATAATCAGTTTAATAAGAATCTTTTTTGATTTTAAGGAAAAAAGAAACTGGTATAAAAAAAGAGGGGAAAGACTTCAAGCCACTTCTTATCAAAAGAATACCTTGATATCTTACTCTTTTACCTTATCCAATTATATCATCAGTTATAATATAGTATAATATAAGGCATATATAGATATATATCTTATTTATATTTCTTTTATATATTAATTAATCAATTCAAGATTTTAGTCAATTACTAATTAGAATTTCTAAAATAATAAAAAATTTAAGATCAAACTAAAATAAGCAAATTTCTTTAAAAAAAATCAAAAAAATTTTGATATACTTGAAAATACTATTATAAACATATATAACTGATGGAAAAGAATCATATATCTGAACAGATAGATTCCTATCAGCTTATCCATCTACCTGGATCACAAGAGTTTTTAACTTATGGTAAATCCAAGGTGTTTCACTTATGGTGAGTCCAAGGTTTTTATGGAGCTTGAAAAATATATTTACTAGTAGTTTACTTTCTAGAGTTTCAGATCTAAGGAGAATATAATGGAGAGTATTTTTTAACAGGTTTTTTCTTTTCAATAAGATATTCTTGTCATAGATCAGATAGATAAAATTTTTATTTATTTTGTCATTAAAATATATAAAGTTTTTTAAAGAAAGAAAAGTAAACAAATGAAGAAAGCATTGGCTTTTAAGAAATAAAGTATTAAGGAAAGTGTTTAGACTTTATTATTAAAAATAAAAAAAATATTTTTGAGAACATCTGTTTTTTGGGTTGGTAAAAAAATTAATGAAAAAAATTATAAAATTATTTTTAATAATAGATTTGTTAAATAAATTATTTTAATATATTTTTAAATTATTATTTATTTGTTTATTTTATTACAAATAAATATTAAAACTATTTTATATAAATTTATATATATTATTAAAAGAAAATAGCAATCGATAATATGCTTTAGAATTGTATAATATAAATCATTCATTATAAAAGTTGCTTAATCAAGTAATTGACCTTCAACCTTATTATTTTTGTTATTTCTACTCGATCAGTTATTTCTGCTTGTTTTGCTTAATCAGTTATTTCTGTTATTTCTATTATTTCTTTTATTTGTTTATTTGTTTTTGCTATTAGAAAAGTATATAAATAATGTAATAAAAAGTAAAAAAGGAGAGAACTGACAATTAGAAAAAAAAATAATAAAAAAAATATTTATTGATAAAAATTAACATACTTATTGTACTGTTTCCAATTAATTAAATTCCTTCAAATTATCAAAACTTATTAAATATCCACTTTTTTTTTGTCTATCACTCTCCGTAGAATCCATAACTCTTATACTAGAGTATTACAAAGTCAAGGTTTTTGTGATGTGCTAATTTAAACCCTGACTTATAACAATACAAAAAAAAAGATATT